ATATTTTTAAACTTTTTTCTAACAATCTAACGGATATTTGTAATCATTTTAGTTAGTTGGAACTAAAGAAGAGGTTATTCAAGATTAAGTAGAATAGATGAGAGTGAAAAAACCTACGGTGTCACGTTAGCAATTTGTGTGTTAATTGGTTGTGTTAGTCATCAATCCATTATGAGAAGATTGCATTGTGGAAAAAATACCTTATCTCCGTGTATATTTGAAATATCTATATGAAGATAGTAGAATCATTGAAGTTATTTCATTTTCAGAGTTTATATTTCATCTTTAAATAAGCTTCTCTCTAGTGTGTCTATATATTTGGAATAAGTATATAGGTCTGATCCGTACACGTAGATGCAAAAATATTTTATCAATAATTCATGATGTTATCTCTCATCCACAATCAATATGTGCATAATAGTGTAAATGTCAAATAATAAAAATTTTCAACATGCGCAATATATATGTTTAAAATATATATTAATAGATGTCAACATCTATCTTGAATGAAATCAATCTTATGATCATGAGTAGGTAAGTTTTCAATTAATCTACTTCATTTTAGCAAAATTTTAATAATATCTCCAAACAATCAATTCAATCAAATCATATATGTCTTGATTCAATTTATGAATTGTTATATTTTGATGCAAAAAGTTGACAACAAGACTTTTGCAACAAAACATAATTTTTTATAGATTGAATTTTTTATATACTGAACTTTTGCATCAAAATATAGAGATTCATAAATCTCAATCACTAGATTGATGTTGATAAATCAAATTCATTCTTAATCATCGACAAATATATTAATCTGAAAATTATGACATTAAATCAATTGAGTTCTATACATACGTTATCAATGTCAATTCCAACACAATGAATGATATTTAGAAAATTTAGGAATGATATCAAATAAATAAATAAGTATAATATTTAAAGCAAACATATTATAAATACTTAAACTTGAATTAAAAATAAACATGTTGATTGTTTGACAAAATATAATTTTAATTATAATTTTGTCCAATTTTTTGCAAAATTAAATCATGATTCGCAATTTTGTACATTTGTGATTCAATTTGAAATTAAAACATATAATAAATTTGTTTTTGAACATAAATAAAAAAATTATGAAATAACCTGATAATATAATATTCTGAAATATTCAGTGTCAAGTTTGATATTCTAAATTAGTATGAATCATGATATTATCTTTTATAATAATAATAGAAAAATTGCTTGCTCAAAGTTAATAATTTTGAAATTAGTTAAAGGTGTTCAATAATTGAATGTTAGCAAATGAAAAAATAATATTGAGGTATGGCTATAAACACTTTGATGTTGGAGGTATACTTTTAAATCATAAAAATATATAAACTTTATTTTTGCATAAAATTAAACAAAATACAATTAAGAAGTTGTAATCAAGCTTTTACTCATATTTGAAATTGACGAGACAAAAGAAAAAGAAAAGTAATTAAACTAAAATATCATATTGGTTTTTTCAATCAATTAGTGTTGAGTTTACAAAATTTTAATGAAAACATAAATGATAAAAGAATATTTATTGTTGCAATTAAATTTTTATATGATAATAATATCATTATATATAATGATATAAAGGTAAAAATTAAAGAAGATAACAAATATATCAATGATTAAAATATGTGAGTTATCACTTTATGTTATTTTCATGGATACACAAGACGTTTTTATAAATTAAAGATCCAATCATTGTTATTTAAAGGATAGATATTTAAAGTAGAAACTAGTTTAACTTATCAAAACTTGAATTGATTCATAACAATGTATATGTTGATTCGTGTTTTGATATCTATAATATTTTAGCATAGTTATGATAACTCTACCAAAAAAATTAACATAGATTATTTTATAAATTAAACCTAATTAGAGTTAAAACAATCACAAAAATATGATAGAGTGATTTCATATATAGAGATAACAAAATTGATAGTAAGAACTAATTAAGCTCTTTACACATAATCTTCAAAAAAGCACAATGTCTCTTAAACTTTTTCAAATAAAGATTGAGTTTACGATCAATCTTAACTTACTAAACTTTCTCATCAAAAATTGCATGTCTGATGAACTGATAGTTATGTTTATGTGCTTCATATATTTATACATCACTTGATTACGTGTAAAATGTGATGATTTTTAAATATCACTTTAATATAATTTTCAATCTCATTCAATCAAATAATTTTTTTCTACTTTCACTAATGCTTTACTTTAAAATATTTTCATTGACTTAATTTTGAAAAAAATTCTTGCAAAATATATTTTTCAATAATTTTAGTCTAAATATATATCTACTTAAAATTTAATCTTGTTCATTATTATCACCATTGTCACATAATAATGATTTATCATGTCTAAGAAATCATTAAACTTAAGTGACTTTTGTCTACTTTTCTTGAAAATTCACTTAGAAGTTTGTTAATGCATAATTCTTGAATTCAAAATGTAAATTTACCTTGCATATAGCAATATCAAGTAGTTTACATCATGAAATACATAAGAATATTCATGGCGTTGTCATAGTAAATTGATGACTTTTTTTCTTTCAATACCATGCCTTGAACATTGACTTGCCAAAAAACTTTGACATGTGCTAGCAAAGGAGTTCATATTGTTTAGGTCGTTGACATGTTAAACTTGTTAAACACATATTCAATGCATATGACTTAATTTTTATTTGTTCAAATTCATAGAAAAATCCATGATTAATAGGCACTTTTTTTTCTTAAATGAAGATAAAAAATATTTCTGAAAACCAATTCATTTTCTCATATAGATATCTATCATTCATTCTACACACAAATGGTATGACTATAATTATCTAATTCATTGAAAAATTATACATCATAAAAACTAAATATAGAATTTGTATTATACATAGTTTGTTATAGAGCAAAACAAATTTGCGTGAGCATAATGGACATAAAGAATAAATTTTATAAAAAGATATTGATTAGAAAAAAATATATTCATAAGAACAATGATCTTATAAGCTATATTATCTCATAGTATGTAATACTTCATCTCAGTAGCACATGCAAAAGGACGTATTTTATATTTTTTTTCTTAATTTTTCTTAAAATATAAGTCGTACAATCAAAATATAAGCCGCAGACTTTAGAAAAACCATTTTTTGCCTCAATATAAATGATGTTAACGATTTAATTACATATAAAGAGAAACATTTTCAATTATACAAGAATACAGTAGTATCAACTTCAATTCAAAATTTACATGAAATAAAAAATATATATATACTTTGCAATTTCATGAACATTTTTTTAGGGCTCCGATCGGGTTTGGGTAAAACTCGAAAACCCGAGTTCGGGTAGAGGAATGTACTCCACCCGAAACCCGGAAATTAGTAAAGCAACGACCGATAAGAATTCAGCTGCAAGCCCAACTGTTCCGTCATCTTTTGCATCTGTTTCCATTCCGTCTCGTGAAACTCTTGTGCTCCTACTCTCTTGTATTACACTCCTCCTCCTCCCGGCTGCCGCGCACCTCTCTTTGCAATGCAGCCACCCGCTCGCTTGCTTCTACGGCTAGCTGGGGCGCTGCACTACCTATCTGCTCGTACTGACTCCTCAAAAAATTCTTGCATGGTCTCCTCGTCAAGAATATACAAACAACTCCGATTTTTCTTTTCCGATTTCCCCGTTACTCCACCCTCAGTCCATTCACGATCATGGATGTCCGCGGTTCTATTCGGTATCTACCCGTTTTTCGAGTCGGGTTGAACGTCAAATCCGACCCGATCCGATCGGAGCCTTACATTTCTTGCTTAAGCATGTCAAATACAACATTTTATTGCTAATTATAAATCACAATGAGATTAAATTTCATATAAATAAAATACGTTGTGTCATTATAGTTCCTTACATACTTAATTTTTCATAAGTCTGAATATCAATTTGGAATTTTTCACTTTCAAGAAATTTTAGAATTTCAATCCATTCAAATCTTTTATCAATATCAATTAAAATAAATTTTTTTCCTTTTTTTAAATATAACTTTAAGAAAACGTCTTTGAATATCAAGTATATAATCAAATAATTATTATCTTGATGTTTTTTTTCCTTCTGATACAGCGCGTTTGATACTTTACCTCAAAATGCTTCTAAATAGGTGTCCCCTAAATTTTTGGTTATTTGAAGAAGCATGTGCGAACTCGTTCATACCCACTGATTCGTCTTATAAATATCAATGTCCTTATTTTTCGTAATACTTTAGACGCTGGAAATATTTCCATCCTCTTCTGTCTTCAAAGGCAGAAAAACAGCACTAAAAAGCTGACAGGTACTTTCCTTCAATTAAGAATATTGGACGCATATACCCATTCAATCTTGTTTTCGGTTGTGTGAATCGGGTGCTGAAAGGACTAAATTAGCCGCAAGCAATTAAAGCCCTTGTCGAAATGGAGAGATCAGTGAAATGACTCGGCTCTTCGAAGTCAACATTACTTTGATGGTTCGGAAGTCGCCACGGTTGGGAACAAATGTGAACTTTTCAACTCCTGCTGTAAAGCTGGGCCTAAGATAGATTGTCAGCGACTATTTCAGTCCAAAAATTGTCGAAATAGAGCCGCCCGCCTGCGCGCATGGTTTCAGATTGGTCCCTCGCGGTAGCTCCACAAACACGCGCACTGATGTCGGCACTCCAGACTACTCGATTCTCGAGAATATCCCTGGCCCCAGGCTCGGTTTCGGTCTGAGGATCCTTTTAACTTCCTTGCTCGGCTGTGTAATCCCCTCCAGTTGTGCTCGGAGCGAGAGAGAGGCTCCCATGCTGAATGTCAAAGCTTATCTTGCACATCAGCAGCCTTTAAGGCTTAGGTCCAAAACCTGGAGACCATAAGTAGGTGCATGTCGTTTATCTATTGGAGTCGAGGTGGATCAGACTCGCTCTTCCGCTTGCGGAGCTCTAGAGGTCGTGCACGCGGTTTTTCGAATGGGAAGAGCTCAACGTGGATTGAGTGACGATCGCAAATCCTCCGGATCTGTCGCCGGCATGGGAAAAGTCTTCGATCCTTCGCTGAAGTTGCTCGCGTCTCTTTTGACAGTCGGAGCGAATTCACCACAGAAAGGAGGCAGCGAGGAGGTGGAGTAACAGCAGGACTGGGAAATTCTATCGGTCCACGAACATTTTCACTCGTAGCCAAACCAACGCTTCACGTCGCGGGTCTTATCTTGGCAGCGAGGAATATAAAGACGTCAATTGTCAACAGATGTAGCTGCACCGCTCTCCTCCGAAGTCGTGTGTAGAGCAGATACCGCCTGCTGTTGCCTGAGAAGAACGATCAGTCATGGACTCGAAGATCGTGTTCGCGGGGCTCTTCCTCGTGGTGTTAGCCGTCGGAGTAGGGGCATCTGACCCCGAGCTCACCACCGACTTCTCGGCCCCCGCCGGCATCGATGGCAACTATTTCAAGTCAACATTGCTGAAGGGCGTTCCCGTGGCATCGCCGAATTTCGCCACCGTGACCGGAGCAAACCAGAACAACTTCCCCGCTCTCACAGGATTGGGCGTCTCGTCTGCACTGCTGCAATTCCCCCCCGGAGCTCTGAACCCTCCTCACACTCATCCCCGTGGTACCGAACTGTTCTACTGCATGCAAGGATGCGTCGATGTGGGTATCGTCGACACCACCAACAAGCTCTTCACCACCAGCGTTTGCGAAGGTGAATCCGTCGTGTTTCCCAAGGGTTTGGTTCACTTCCAGATCAACAGAGGCAAGACTCTGGCCAAGGGACTGGTGGGATTCAGCAGCTCCAACCCAGGTACCAACAGACTTCCCAACGTTCTCTTCAAGTCCGGAATCGCCGATGACGTGCTGATGAAAGCTTTCGGTGTCGGCAAGATGACCATCGAGCAGCTGAAGAATGCCAAGGTCAACTAAATGTGCTCAGAGAAAGTAGTTCCTGTTGTTTAGCATAGTCGATCTCCATGGAAGACTCGCCCCAATCACTTTCCACCGATGTCTGTCGGGAGAGCAAACGATGATGCGAGTTTTCAAATCATGTAATTTTTCTGTCACGAGTTTCTGTCTACGTAAATTTGTGACAATGATAATGGCAGGTCCAGACTTGACCTGCTTCCTTCCAATATGTATAACCTGCTACATTTGCCCCTCGCAGTTCCGAAAGCTTCTGGCTCTGCCACTCTGACCTTCTCTGGGCCTGCATGCAAGTGATCTCATCATCAAAGTAATGTCTCACACTCAATCTCCCGGGTTTACACTCATCCCGTTTCTTACACATGAAGATGAAGAAATGTAAGTGTGACCTCATACCAATGTGAGAGAGGATGACAAGAAAGAATATCAATTTCTAAGATAACTTGCTGTAAACATAGTTGAAATCCAGCGCTGGCTAAGAAAAATGAAACTGTCGATGATTGTTAGACTAGATTAAATCTTAATCGAATCAAACTTTCTGCAGACAAAAAATATCATCATACCATTCAAAACTGTCAATAAGAAAATACTTAGCAAACAGGTAGAAAAGACAAAATTAGAGAAAAACACATACATTTAATTAGTATATATATATAATTATATTTCTTACATAGCAGGTGAGATTATTACATATCAAATCTACTTCTAACAAATAAGGACTCTAACAAAGTAATTACTCTAACAGCAAACGAAATGATCAATATCTTAATTACAGTCAAATTTCGTTATGCACACATCATCATTACAAAATTAATGAAGGTTATGTTGTTGAACAAATCAACTTCTACATACGAAAATTTGTTCTAGGATATTCATCATATAATAATTCTTCAGCTTGAAGAATATTTACCCCTCTACTGCGCCGAAAATGGAAGACCAAATACCCTGTAATAAAAGCCAACGGCATGTGAGAAAGTAAACGTACACGCTTAGACTACACACATAACGCACATCATGTACCAATTACAACATTGCCAAATCTCGAAGGTATGTAGACTGCTGTTGTTCCAAGTTGATTAGCTTTGACCTCAGCCTTTTTACTTACGGCATATTGCATAAGCATCGCTGCGTTACCACACTGACACCACTGCGGTGATGGACTCGAGTCTCGAGACAGCCAGAAACTCCGTGAGGATCGCATAGGCCGCCAGAGAAACTACTTATACACGAGAAAATGCCACCATCCTCACAACTAGCGACCACCGACGTGTTCGGAAGTCCTCTACCAATTACACTCAACCTCATTCGGACGCATGTTTCACGAAGATTTGAACTCAACATCTTGCCATCTCACAAGCTGCAAACTAGAAAACTACCCCTCAAACTGTAGATAGAAGCAGAAGTAGCTGATTGAAGCCAATGAAAAATTTGAGTTCTTGACAAATCGTACATCCTGGCTAGTTTGCATCCGACAAAAACGGGGGCAACACTCTTATCACCACACAACAAAGTCTATACTCCCATCGCCACGCCAATCTCTCCTCCGTACGGAACAATACTGATCATCCGTGAGTTCGAATGCAAGCATTGTTTTGAATGTAGACGGAAAATACACATTATACATTTCTTGAATACATGAGTGTAATTTGAATAGCATGGATGGCCATAGGTGGACGTAGTTCGCTACTGATGTTTATGCTATGATCTGGATACAAGTTCGAAGTAAGATGTTGGAATCTGCTCTATGGAGATTATGATTGATTGCGCACAATTCACAAATGTATATTTTTTGAAACTTTCAATATTGTTGTGTATTTTAAAAAATAAAATTGTAATACAATCATTCTTTTGATATCATTTGAATTGAGTCATAGAGGAATGGTTAATTATAATTTTTTTAAGAATTTTTGGTTGCACGACTTATGCTTTATTAACTAAAAAAATTAAACCAAGTTGGATCTTACATTCAAAAAATGTCATTTTCATATGTATGCTAGTGATTTGAAGGATTAAAAACAATGGATATCATTGATCTCTAAATTTTAATTAGTATGAATTTTTTTTCAATTAGCTTAGTTCATTGAGAGAGTATGAAATTATTAAAATTTCTTGTAGGAAAAATCTGCAATCTTTAATATTTTAGAGGGAAAATTTTATTATTATGAGATTAATGATGTGACACAAAAAAAGTTCTTGCACAAATGAAGCATATTTTTGAAGAGCAAATTATCGTTGATTGTCATCTCAAAGATCTTCATCAAATGATGAAAATCAACAAATACATCTACTAGAAGATCATATAATTGGATTGATAGAGCTTGATGAAAGTATGAGTTATGAGTTGTCTCATCCAGGAGTAGATATCATTTGACAACACACTCTAAATCTTGCATAGCTCAATTTCCAATCAAAATCATTAAGAATGAAAAAAATCATCAATTTACTATGACAGAGCCATGGATAGTGCATGGATATGCATAAAACCTTAGTGCTCTAGCTACGGACAAGTTGAACAGACATATGTTATAACTAGATAACATGTATAAGATTTCAGTGAAATGAATTTTCAATTACCAATGAACTTTTTTGGTAATTGAAAATTCATTTACCAAAAAAGTACTAGGAATTATGGTTTATTGTTTCATAGTTTTTTGAACAATCTCAAATCTTTGCTATGCTATGTTAATGCTGAATATCAATACTAATCGAATGAGATCAAACCCATAACAAGATATGTGTGTACACTTAGAAATGAATGCATTAATTGGAGATCATTTTAAAAAAGTGTTGAGGTTGGTTTACAACAAAAGCTAAATATAAAGTGACAACTAAAGCAACAAAGAAAGTTATTTGGTTAAATAGATTTATCAATGAGATGAAACAATAGGTTATAAATATTCATTGTCACAGTTAGAATAGATGACATCTTGTTGTAAATCAAATGATGAACAACAAAATGAAGTACATTGACATAGTTTATCATTTTATTAGAAATGAATTATATTATGAATTGATTGAACTAGTCAAACTTGAAGATAACTTTAATCCAACTAATGCTTTTATCAAAGTTATTGGAGACATTATTATTAAAAATTTTGTGCATAGGCACAAAAATTTAAGTAGCATAAGTAAAATTAACTAACAATTTTTGTTAAATCCATATAACTACTCCATCATGTTTTCATAATGATTTGGTTCTAGTAAGTTTATAGAGATGCATATGTTATATATACTTTTAGAACTTTCCACAAAGTAATTATATGGATTATGGAAATATTTGCTAAAAACTTTAAGTTGAAGATTGTTAATGATAATTCAAATCAAAGATTAATTCTAATCAACTTGACCTGGATTTACAATTTTTCCTAGGTTTAAATTTTTATGCTAATAATTATATATGAGTATAAGAAGTGATTCAACTCAAAGATTGTTTAAGTTTTGTAATAAATTTTTATGTAGAGACGAATTACATATATGTCATCTTTGCATTTGATGTTATATTGTGTATTTCTTAATACAAAATCCTATCGCAATAACATGTAATAAAAAATTTACATAAAAATCAGATTAATTATTTCATAGACACTAATGATAAAAATATTTTTACAGAAATTATTTTATAATCATACTTGATATATGAAATTTCGTGAAAATAAAAAAAATTATTGCAATCATATATTTAAATTTAAAATATTAGAATTAATAAAATTTAAAATACATACATGAGATGAGTTGAATTAAGATTTTACGAACATAAAATTTTTTATAGCAAAATAGTTTGAAAAAAAAAAATATTTATATCTTTGAATAGAAATAGATTTCATTTTAACTTATATATTTAGGAAATTTAATTTAGGTATTAAATTATCAATGCAATTTTGATGAAAATTATTAATTTAAAATTATTTATCCAAAAAAATATTATTTAAAAAGATTAAATCTAATATCATCTGCTTTCCATTTCATGATTTAATTTTGCAAGTAGAATAACAAAATCATGCACCAATATATTAAATTTTCAAATTTTTTAATTTTTTTAAAAAATTTTCTAAATGTTCCTGATAAACATTATACCATTTATGTCATTCTTGTGTATATTTTTCAAGTTGTAAAATAATATTCTATGAATTTTTTATGAAAATTATAATGTTAAGAATATCCCGGTGGGTTCAATAACTAAGACAGTCTTTTAGGGTTTTTGCTTCACTATTTAACGCGAGGAGTATGTTTGTCGCGTCAAACATTTATCTGTGTGTTTATGTGGACATAGCCAAAAAATATGAATTATTTATCTTGTGCACCTTCTTACGTCTGCATTTTCTGTCATGTGTATTTTTTATATCAATTGATATCAGAGCAAGACTCTACATTATGCACTATCTTGACTGTCTGGGATCGAGACCAAAGTTCTTGCGGGCTCTTGTCTCAATTCACTTGTTATTGTTTCAGAACCTTTGAATTTCTTTGATTGCGAGAAACTACTGCAGGCTTTCATTGTCTGCGCATCAATAAACGTTTGATTGATTTTCTTACTTGACCATATTACTACTTCCTTCGGACATGAGCTCAACTTGAAACCAAAAATTTCTTGGCTCCCGATCTTGTGTAGATCATCACATAAGACAAAATTTGTAGTATCAACAATTGATTTCTATCCCAGAGTATAGACATTAATTGCTTTTAGAAAATATAATATTTATATTATATTATAATCTCTTATAAATGACATACTCTCATTATTAACGTAAAATTTTAGAACCATTCATTTTTAATTAGAAACTAATGGTTCTAGAACCGGAAATCACTATTGGCAATAGTGATATGATTATATTCATAGTGACTGTTCTTGTATAATTTCGGAATTATAATTCCTATCATGGTCACAATACATATCTATAGAAAAAAGAATGTGACATAAGTTTATTTAATGGTCTATATGAACCATTTACTTCTTAAGTTGCAGTAAAATACTTTGTTATATATATTTTCCATTTCCATTTTTTATTACCATCAATTGTTTCACTCAAATTTTTTGTATCAATCTGGATTTTTATAATGCTTACGTAGTGAACAATACAGATGTGAAACCAAAAATCACAATTCTATAATGTACTAGGACTGATGTAATGTACGATAAAAAATCTATGAGGTTACTTTTTACAATCACCTCCCAATAGTGACATATAACCCTAACATCAGCATATGGTACTATTAGGAGGTTGTACTCAAGGTGGAACACTTTTCTACTGTGAGTGACATCTAACCCTAGCACCAATCTACGTCACTATCGGAAGGTTTAACTCTGAACACCATCCAGGAGGATCTAGTGAGATCCTTACAGAGTCAAGGTAAACATTTTGTCAAGCCGTTGCAAGTTCACAATAGTTCCTCGTTTTGTCGAGTCGTCCTCTTCACGCGGGAGTTATCTGTCGTAAACTTGGATCACTCACACTCCGTTCAATGGATGTGCAACGATACTTCAATCTTGTAAATTATGATTCTGTACATACTTTGTTTCTCCTTCAAGTTCATAAGTTGCTACCACCGTCGTAAACTGCTCTGAACACTTGGTTTCAGACTATCGACACAACCTGCTACTAGACACCGTGAACATTCGCTTTCGAAGATTTCAAGCAGTACCGTCAGTAGCATACAACCTGGTAGAGCCGGAAATTTCCCGTGGTCAGGATGTACTTAGACTGTCCACAACGAATTTTGACAGATCACATTCACATCGTGTTTGGAAGATCCGGAACTATCTTTCTCTCAATTATGAATTTGGATGGTTTGATTCAGCCTTCTACGATTTTTGAGGTTGTGTTTTCTCAGGCTACTTCGGATCTGTGATTACTTGCGTTCTGGGGACTGGCAACTTCATACCATGAAACTGGCAGTATGAATACTCATTTCCAGTAAGTTACATGCAAATGACTGACTTAACAACCTGTTTTAACCTCAAGCAAGCAACACTATACCAGTTCCCAGATTGAGATAGAGATTTCCTTTGCGTGGTAACATCGAGAAATTGTTTTCACAATCAAAGGGGCTCAAGGATTGCATACATAACTCGTACTCACAAAAAAGGCCTTCGAGTGCAAACATATCTACTTTTTAGTGTTTTCACATGTACAGCTGGTCCATAACTAGAAAGAGTTTCGCAATTCCACAAGTATTCTACTGAAGATAAAACAAGATGATTTCTTATATCAAACATGAAAATATCCCAAACAATAATCTATTTCAAGAATTATGTATTGACGTGTTTAAGGGTAAGCCACACTGTGGAGCACTGCCTCCCAACATTCGTTAGCAATGTGTTCCACGCAAAAGAAGTATTCTGACCTAAGGATTTCAGCAATTTCAGCCGAGCTATCGTGGAGGTGGGGTGGACACGTATGATTTAACCTATACTATCAACTCCTTATTTGAGGCGAATGGGAAGACACATTCCTCATTGATCCACAGCACCAAAGGTATGCGCCAACTCGGATTAGATGCTTGTGGGGCGACAGAACGTGTTACTTATAGTACAAGAGTAGGAATCGGCACATCATCACTGTTCTCATATGTTACACAAGGACATTGCCTCGCTTTTGTGTAGCACGATGAAAAGTCTTAAAAAGGTAAAACTGTCTATCTCCAACTACGTTTCCAGAACCAAATTACAAGGACTCAAGTTCACTTTCCTAAACAAAAACCCTACAAAAAAGTGAGAGCAAAACACGCCGACAGCGAATGATTCATAAGAATCAACCCAAATTAGCTCCGGAGTAAGAGAGGCCTTTGCCCTCACAGAGTCGCAAAAAACAGGCACCAAAAGAACTATACCAGCTAGTCCGCCACATCCTTCGCAAACTTTGTCCGGTAAGCTCTTCACCCTGCAACAAAAAATGCAATCGACCATGCAAGTCAGAATCAGCGCACTCTGTTGAACTCGTTACAAGCACGAAATTTCGAAAATCTTACGAACCCAGAGAAGCCTCACCTGATCCAGATCACCGCAGTAAACTTTACGCCTGAGTCTTTTCAGCTCTAGGTATGTTGGTCATCAAGATAGTTTTACTGATGCACGACGTTGCATAGTTATGCTCCACATTGAAAAATTCTACACAGAGAGTAGCAGTTCAATTTGAGTTCCCACACCACGGTCATTTCAACCCCTTATGGAATTTCGAATAGCTTCTTCAATTTTACTAGCAACCTCCAGTCTTCCATTGTCAAGTCATCCTGTACAGCAAATAAAACAAGGTTAATATATAGTTCACAGGCAGAAGAAAGAACAGTCCACATTAAATAGCAGTAAAATACACTACTCTGGAATCAAATTGGACACTCATGACTTACCCTGTAGTTCTCTTTCAGAAGATCAATGGACTTCCTTGTGATGCTGCTCACAAATTCGTCTTCCATGTCAAAATGCCTTCCATACATCTTCTGCGTTTCTTCAGCATTGGTACCAACGATCTGCACATATAGACAACTTTTAATTATTCTTCCAAAACACAAACCAGGAACTTGTGAGGGATGAACTCAAGCTTCAATTTTTCATGACCAGAACAATGAAAAGACTTGAGATACTAAAATAGCCCAAAAAAAGGCTCCCGACGGTTCACATAAGTAGGCTCTGTACACAGATGCACGCCCCACACTGATAAAATTGAGACCATAATATACGAGCATGACGCCCGAAGAATCACCCATAAGAAACAACTGACCAGACATACATTGTCGATCCCAGGTTGAATCATGTATGGGTAGCATTCAATGAGAAAGTACAGAGCCCATAAATAAATAGCTTAGTGATAAAAGCATTACCTTCATTGCTACTGTATTTCCCTTTTTAGCAGTGTCAACAACCTTGTGATTGACCTCCATGGATGCGATTCTTCCAATTTCGATGAACTCCCTCGAGGGAATACAGAGAGGTGTCCCCACCTGAAATGTGCAACAAACTAGAATAAAAACTCCTTTGCACATAAAACGTCAAGCACAAGAGCATATAATTTCTACAGGCCCTGTTGATTCTAGAGGCACTGTTATTAGGACCACTAAGCCTGAAAACCACAGATTCCATTATGATATTCAGGCTGAGACAAGCCTTGACTGCAGAGCAGAGTCCTGCAATGGGTACCCAATACCCACCCTCACCCTTGGCACAATGGGTGGGTAATGGGTATGGGCTTGGAGGAATGGGTGGGTACTCGATGGGTACGAGGAATGGGGGGTAATGGATAGGTATGATGGAACCGGTCTTTAAAATGACTGAGCTCTCGGATTGCGCAACGCTAATAGCTAATCAACACACTGTGCTAATTAGCTATTACTTGTCATAAACCTGCAGAAAAGTCTAATTCATATATTGAATGAAAAATCTTTTTGTAAACACATGCTTTACGGATAACCAAATGAGTGCTGCTTGTAGATCGAAGTGGAGGAAAGCAGAAGTGATCTACACTGTATTTTGGTGGACTGATGGGTATGAGTTGGGTATGGACAAGGTGCCATGGGTGGGTAATGGTTGGGTACAGTTGACCCACGCGCAGCTGTGGGTCGGGTATGGGTATAGTTTTCAAGCCCAATGCAGGACTCTGCTGCAGAGTACAGTTATCAAAGCACTATTGATGGCGATTACGGAGAGCATCAAGTACGTATAGCACAATAAAATGATCTACCAAAAACGGCTTTCGCAATCCCACATCACAGTGCAGTGTTTTGCATATAGTCCGAGGTACATACAGTACCCAGGCATGTCAAGAATCATCTACTGGTGATTATGTAGCGAGTCATCCTTCGTGCCACATGGTGACACACAAGCCCCAAACCCCACGGTAAAGCAAAAATTTTCATTTCATGACTAACATTCTGACTAGCCAACCGATTGTTTCATGCCTTCAAGAATCGGAATTGTACCTTAGCGATTCCCTCGACGACGTCGACACCAACAATAATAGGATCTTTCTTATTGAAAATACAACCCGGCATAAGCTTTAGTACACATGGGAAAACAGCCTCTTCTGCAGTTTCCTTTCGCTTCTCCTCCTTCACGGTGTTGATGTAGTTGGTGAACTGATCAAAAAGATGGTATATGATATCGGCTGTGAAGATCTTGACACCAACTTCATCTGCTAATTCCTTGGCTTCTTGAGTGACTTTCACGTCAAATGCTAGAATAGTAGCATACTCCTTCCTCTTTCTCTCCAGCATTACGCTAGCTCGCATCACGTCTCTCTTGTGTACAGGGCCTATGTTGATTCCACTAACTGGAATCTTCACAGCTGGACTCTTCAGAAACTCAAGTAGAGCCTCCAAGGATCCAAGTGTTGACGCTTGGACGCAGACACCTTCACCAGTCTTGTCGACGCGACTCATCACATTCTTCATATCTTGCATTGCTTCTTCCTTGATATCCTCCAGCTCATCCTCCGGGCCAACCACATACAATTGAGTTCCGGCAATTGCGTGCTCAAGACCCTGTTTCAGTTTCCAGATTAGGTTAGAGGATTGAGAAATGGTGAGTTGAGGAGACATTGACTATCAGGACTTCAAGATAAGTTGACGGAACACATCACACGCATTAACAGAGTAAGTAGCAATAATATCGTAGATCGATAGCTGGTCATACGACACGATACGATGAACATAACGGTTATATCCATGAGCCGAGTTTATCAATATCAAACCGAACATTAAAGAAATCTCAAATAGGATTCTGACGATAGAGTTTGAGTGAAGCGCATCGAATCAGTTTAGTAGGTTGACAAACGATAGGTGTGGGAATCTGAGGCATAGCACAGGTGTGGCACTGGATAGCAAGATATTGACTTACCTGGCCTGTAATCTTTATTCCTTGAGCTGCCTTGAGCTCTTTATGCTTCTCGTAAGATCCCTGCATGCAAGAACCACCAGTCGAAATATTCATTATTGGTTCTAGTAAGCTGACAGCAAATATCTGAGAAAGCCCTTGAAAAGAACGGCGAGATTTACACTCTTAGATACAAGAGACTCTACTTGTGAAAAATTCACAAATAGGGTTAACATATTGCATAAATAAAAACACCCATGCAAGATAGAACAGAACCTATTTCCTGGGGACAAAAAATCACGATGCTCAAAGGACACACTGACCTTCACGCGGAGTTCCTTCATCGGATGTGGCGTCAAGAGAGCTCTTATGCTTGTCACAATAGGGCCCTATGTTCACAGGAGGAGTGTCAGTACTGCTGGAGTAAAGTTGAGAGAGGTCTATACATGGGTTGTAAATGAGGAATTCAGTTTCAAGTAAGAAGAAGCATGACATTTGTGCATGTGAACCTTCATATACACCTAGGATAGACCTACTACTAGGAAATGAAATAGACATTCCACGGCCTGAATAGATAAAATCAGAAGGCTTGTGTGTTGGAATATACTTGAAGTGTTGTGCATCTGACCTATAAGGTGCGAACTAACACTAATACACAGCACATTTTACCAGAATCGGACAAGTTGTGCATGAACACCTAGAAACAGATGATACATCCATACTCTCGATTTGACCATGGGCATATATTCTCTTCAGCAAATTTAGGCGTATTGCGGGGGACTTTGAATTGCATGCATAAACCAATAAAATGTACGTAAGTTATTAGGGTTCACCTGCATTCCGCAAACAACAATTTGGTCCCCTTCGTGCAGAACACCATTAACCAGGACGACGTCAATTGTTGTCCCAAGGCCTTCAATAACTTTGACCTCCAATACGGTACACTGTCAAGATGCCGCGAGCGTATGAGTGATGATCATTGGGAGGAAAAGGACTTCAAAATGACAAACGGAAGAACCGGGTTGATCTTACCTGCACTTCTGCGACATACATCAGCTTCTCTTCCATCATCTTCTGTGTAAGCTGAACCAGTAACATGAGAAGATCTGGAACACCCTCCCCACTGCAATAAAGACGAGTATTAGTAATGCGTATTGTGATACGGTGCTCAGAACGGAGTTAATTACGTCGAAGGAAGCAGGCAAGCCAGGAGAGACATGTAGTCACCTGATAGCACTTGTGGGAACGATGCTAACAACCTTCCGAATCTCCTTGTTCTTGTAGTACAGCTCAGAGTTCATACCCTGCTCCTTCAACTGAGTAATAATCTGAGAAGAGCATTACACTGATGTTAAAAAAGGCTCAATTTTCAGGAAGAGGAAATAGAGCCCTCTGGATATGTGCAACATAAGAGGTTGTGGCAGATTATAACTCACCTGATTGGTACGGGTTTCGAACTCCTGAATAACATGCTTACTCTGGTTCTTCATCGAGTTTCGTATGGGGGCATTTGTAGTCGACTTCCAGTCATACAGCCGATCCACCTACAGTTCCAGCAATAACAAGATGCTCATTGTGAGCCAAGCTGACACTTATAGTTTCGAACAGCAGTCTACAGCCCATGAAAACATACCATCAATAGAGATTAGAGAAGCAATTACCTTGTTCAGAGCCACAATAAACGGAGTTTTTCTCATTTGCAGCAGCTTCAAGGATTCAATAGTTTGTGGTTCCAGTCCGTGCATTATATCGATGACTAGAATTGCGATGTCACAAAGACTTGAACCTCTGGCTCTCAAGTTGGTAAAAGATTCGTGTCCTGGAGTATCGATAACAAGCAAACCTGGCACCCTCATTTCTGCCACAGCCTTGAGCTCTTTCGTCCTTTCCCTGATATTTGCCATAGGAAAGTACGTCGCTCCTATCTGCTGAGTAATACCACCTGCCTCGCCCTCCTGTACATTCGTCCTCCTAATGCAATCAAGCAATTTCGTTTTACCAGTATCGACGTGCCCAAGGATACAGCAAATTGGTGATCGCAAATCGTCAGCGCTTCTCTTCGAAAGAGCTTCAGCTTTCCTTGCTTCCCTCTTATCCTTAGCCAAACGCTTCTTCTTGGTATCTGCATCATCCTCTTCCTCGCTTTCCTCTTCCTCTTCGCTTTCTGTTTCCTCCTCCTCACTTTCTGCAGGTGGAGGAGCCGCTTTGTGAGGACCTTTGTGGGGTTGTTGACCACGTTTAGGTGCAGGCGTTGGACGCTTCTCAGGTGATGCGGCTCTCTTGGCAGGTGGAGCAGGTGCTTGAGCAACAACACGCTTAGTGCTTTTGCCAGGAACAGGGGCTACTACCAGCGACTCTCTCTTATCCAGCTCCTCGTCTTCGGCAAACGCGCTCTTGATTGCTGGAAGGGCAACATCTTCAAAACTCTTCGCATCCCAGTCCTCTTCTTCTTCCTCCTCTTCGGGTTCTGGTGATTTTTCCTCAGGGGGGGGCTCCGGAGCTGCAACCTCTTCCTCAACGGCGACTTCAACTTCCATTGGAACCTCAACAGGTACCTCCTCTACCTCTTCGACCTCTTCTATTGGTGCGTCCGATATTTCCTGTTTGGTCAAATCAGCAGCTTGCTCTGACTGCTGGGAGATATTGGGCCCTCTTTTCTTCTTCTTTGAATCGTATTTTGGTTTACGAGGTGCTGCAGGAGCAGCGTCGACGGGAGCTCCATCAATACTGTCAACCGCAATTCCGGCTTGTGCAAGCATTTGTTCCCTCATCATAGCCAATCTTCGAGCTTCCTCCTTCTGCTTGCCCGTCAAAAGCTTACCCTCCTTTTTCTTCTGTAGGAGTTTCTCTTTCTCTCGTTCCTTGCGCCTCTTCTTGGCCTCCTCTTTCTGTCGTTCTAGTTCTTCTAGACGAGCCTGTTCCTCCTCTTCCTTCCGCCTCCTCTCTTCCTCCTCACGCTTTCTCTTCTCCTCGGCCTCTCTGATCTTAGCCAGCTGCTCTTGCATTGCTTTCAGGTGCTTCGGGATTTTCTTCTCCGCTGCCTTTCCTTTGGCCTCCTCCTTAGGCTTGGCAGATTCGGCTGCTTCTTCATCCACAGGCTTCTCGGTTGCAGCTGCCTTTGCTGCCTTTTCCTTCTCTTTCTTTTTTTTCTTTTTCTTCGCAGCAGCAGATTCAACGACCTCCTCTCCCTCTGCAACGGCAGGTGCTTCAGGCACAACTTCGTCCGCAGGCTGTTCTTCGATTGGCTGAGACTCCGCAGGAGTTTCCGAAGGTGCAGCAGATTTGGGAGGTGCTTTGGACATAACGGGGCCATCCAATTCAGCAAGTAGAGCATCGAGATCCTCTTCCTCTTGGGCTGTTCGTCCACTCTTCTTCCCTTTCTTCTTATTCTTCTTCGAAGAAGAGGATGATTCTGTAACGGAGGGAGATGGCTCAACGGGGGGACTAGAAACAGTAGGAAGACTTGGCAATTCCGCGGTTTCACCCATGTCATCAGCTTCCACGTCCTTTTTCACCTCCTTCTTACCTTTCTTCGGTTTTTTCTTTCCAGAAAATGCGATTACTTCGTCATCCACCTCGGGCTCTACTTCCACATATACAGAAGCTTCCTCTCGCAATCCCGCATTGGCATCCAGTCCTCCACCATTGGTAATCTCATCGTCAACTATAACCTTGGGGGCTTTCTTACCTTTTGCCTTCTTCTTGCCTGAGAACACGACTTCGTCCCCAGATAGATCACCATTCTCTTTCTGAGTAGATTGCGGAGCTGTACGCTCCTCTGCATCTTCGTCACCGGCCTCAACAGAACCCTCATCCAATCCAGCAAGTAAAGACAGAAGGTCAGCGGGCTTCGTAGAGGTGGCTTTTTTACCTGCCTTCTTCTCAGACTTCTTCGGCGCCTCGAGCTCATCGATGACCATAGGATCTTCAGAGCCAGCTTCATTACTTCCTGGAAGCTCGTACTCGTCATCATCTAATTTAGCCCCTTTCTTGCCTTTCTTCGCAGCTTTCTTCTTACCCGAAAAGATGGGTTCTTCAGGTTCAGGAGTTTCATCTAACTGTGCAGGGGCTTCAATGGTGGGCTGTAATTCGTACTCATCGTCGTCCACCTTTGCCCCTTTCTTCCCTTTCTTCCCAGCCTTCTTCTTCCCGGAGAAGACAGGTTCTTCGGGTTCTACGGGAGCTACCTGCTCAGATTCTACAAGTTCCGGAATCTCATACTCATCGTCGTCTATCCTACCTCCTTTCTTACCCTTCTTCCCCCCTTTCTTCTTAGCCCCGAAATCTTCTGATTGAACAGAAATTGCAGGTTCACTAATTTCCACGTCAAAGTCGTCGTCATCTCCCTTGGTTCCTTTCTTCCCCTTCTTACCCTTTTTCTTATTCCCGGCTCCGGACTCTTCCGCGAACGAGGGCACCTCAGATGGCGTCGATTCAACATCGACAGATTCGGAAACCTCATATTCATCATCATCTACCCTGTTTCCTTTCTTACCCTTCTTAGCACCCTTCTTTTTACTGCCACCTACAAATTCCTCCAGAGAAGTCTCATCTGCTTGTTGAAAAGAAACATCACTAGAATCTAGCTCAGCTTTCTTGGCATTCTTACCTTTGGTCTTCTTCTTCCCCGAAAAGCTCAAATCCTGCAACTGATCGGCTAGATCAGCTTCCAGGTCCCCGGAACCTCGCTCTTGCTCCCCATTGACAGACTCCTCCACAGCGGGCTCCACCATATACTCATCGTCGTCCACTTTCACGGCTCCTTTCTTCTTGCCCTTCTTAGCATTGCCACTTGGCGCTTGAGCTACGGAAGCCGAATCGGGCTCGAACTCGTCGACGGCAGCACTCGTCGGCTTTTTGCGCCCCATTCTGCCCTCACAGGCTTCAACTCACCCCGAACAAATCACGAGCAAGCGCAACTCAATCCAAAAAATGGTGAACGAACATGTCCTTCCGACGACTCGGATCTCATCGACAAACCAAATCCTCAACAATTGGTTCTCCGCCCTCTCATCGACTCGATCCCTCCCGCCCTTTTGCCTGGCTGGCTCGGCACCATACGGTCGCCAACCCTCACGCAATTGCCAATTCCGAGCGATCGTCGGCGGGCCTCGGGATCATGCTCTCGATCACTCCTCTCAATGCTCAGTCGAACGCAGCCCCGACGACCCTGAGATTCTCGACAAAGGACCAAGAGGGCAAAAGGTCCAGCCGGTCGGCTTTTCTTCCTCCTCCTTCTTTCACCTCCTCCCTTCTCCCTCTCTCTCTCTCTCTCTCTCTCTCTCACATCCCCTCCCTTCCTCTCTCCGATCCTCCCTCCCCACTTCCCTCCCTCCCTCGCCTTGCCTTACCTTGTCTTGCCTTGGCTCAATATCTCGACCACAGTACTCCCTTCTCTGTTGTTCTCTCCTCGTCTTCCCAATATGTCCATCTGCTGACCACGTACTGATCTAGGTCAGCTCCAACGTCCTGACCGAACCCGGGAGAAGACGTGATTATCCTCGCATCTTGGCGCTTTAGCGGTTGCTATTTCGCTCAAATCACGAATTCGCGATTCTGGAGGTCCGCCAGGCCGACTCGTGAATCCGTCCGATGGCAATCGGACAGTGAGCAGAGCATACCGAATGCGTTTAGGGTTTCGACTTTTTAGGGTATTGCCTGCGATATCTGGGGGTGAGCGACCGGTTGTAGCCGGTTTGGTGGGGATTGGGATGGGCCAATATAAATGAAGTGGAGTGAGTGAACTTCGGTGAGCGAGATTCTCCGCGTGCTGACTGCGCTGAGGACTAGCACCGTGCCTGGCGCGTGTGTCCGGTCTCGAAGCGCGCACACTGCGTTTCATGCTCTTCTTGTGGCCGGCTTCGTTTGCAATTGCGCCCAGTTGCGTCGCAGCTCCGCTACCAAATGGCCTGTCCGTCCTCTCCTCATCCGCGGAACGTCTCCGATCGCGAGCGTTCGTCACGTCTCTGCTGCTTCTCTGAATTTGCACAGGAATTATGGAATTAAAATTGCTGATCCTTGCCTCGCCTCGGGCTCGATAGGCTTGGAAACGTCGCAGTCAGGGCTTTCTGAGAGGAGGACTCCAAGACGCCATGAGTTGTTGTGGTCCTTGTCGATCGGTCAGATTGGAATTTCGTTTAGCTCTCCTCTTCCCGGTTTCAACTTTCTAGCGCTTGCTGCACAAGTGGTCCCATTATTTCTTGGAGGATCGAGAAGAGGTTCCTATCCTTGTTGAGATTTCCAGTAGACCGACGTCGCACTCCACACTTAGGAAGTAGTCTTAAGTTTCCGCAATCTCACGAACCATTCGTCCTCTGCATTTCAAGTTCTGCTGGGGTGGCGAATCCATCCGCTAAGCTGGATGATGTCAGTGCTGGATTATGGTAATTCATTCCACAGGTGGACGGATCCATGCATCAAGGTAGCCGAATGTTGAAATCAGACCGAATTCACCATGTAGAGTGCGAATGGAGTTCGGATTGCTTAGAACATACCTGGTTGCGGGTTACTTCGTTGGCGAGGACTTCTTGATTGGAGGATCATAGAGTTTGGAAATGATGATTGACCCGTTGCATCCTGAGGTGACAATCGTATGGAGCATTATCGTTGTTAGCGCAAGGAGGAAGGTCATCAACTTCCCGCTTGCACAATGCGTGGAATCCATACTCGTTACATCTGCTGTGGCCTCATCTGAACATCTTCGTGGACCGGTTATTGCCCACTTCTTACGATTGTTTAGTCGCTGCTGAAAAAAGAATTCGGCCAACTGTTACTCACAAGGCACACACACAGCGGAGCTTTTAATCTCGTTAGCAAACCAACCAGCCAAACACGACTAAAGAGTCCTTGAAGCAGAATGCGAATTTTATTTTCCAAACAGATATCCTGCAACCTGGTGTATCCGGTTTGTGAAATCTTCCCTGTATTTGTTGAAATAATCATGGTTCACTATCTTCTGCTTAGCTGAACAAGTACATCCTTGTTTACTTTAGGCATCCTACACTATAAGGTTAATGCATGTCAAGGCTTATTGTTAAAAGGTATGGAAAGGTTTAGCCGGATCACCATCTCTTTCGAGGTCACGTGGGCAAGGAGATCTGAGTACAACCAGAAACGAAGACCAATTCCCACCGAGCCTGTGTTATCTTCACGGAAAAGTCTTGATAGCAGCAACAGCTTTCACTGAATATTACCGGACAAGTAGATCGCCAGCTTCCTAGTATCGGAGTTGTATAAGAGGAGCCAAATCAAGCCGCTGCTCTGAGTCAGAACGACTCGGAGGCATTAGCCGTCAGGTCTCCTTGCATATTTCATACTAATCGGCCCTGGGTCAGAAGGCATCGCTGAACCTTGCAAAACCTGTGAACTCCACATTGAGGAACTGTATCAAAGACAACTCTGCTCGTTATTAGTCGGCTGTCATAACCTGTCAAAAAAGACATGACAGCGAATTTCAAACGAAAATACAAGGTGACTCATTGTTCTTAGTTTCAAGGAAGACGGATTGTTCCCTTGTTGCCACATTAGATCTTTTCCCCGCAGTAAGAGGCTACATCAAAACAGTCCTATGTCAAATTTCAAGCTGTGTCAAATGTCCATAATCATGACTAAAGGCCACTGAGTTACAAAGCAACACAACTTCCATAATATAGTCCAAAACATAGAGTCAAAAACATAAGTAGATTCTATGACATGATTCCAGTGTCTTACGGAGATATGACATAGAACCGTGGAAGCAACTCCTCGTACTTTAGTTGAAATTTATATTCATCACTATAACAAAAATTTCACTAAATTAGCAATGAAAACAATATATTAGTCATAGGCACAATTTTCACTTGTTGACTCAATCAAAATGTTGTACTCACAAATTTCTGACATAAATTCTAATTTTTCTTCATAACTTGTTAACTATAAAAAAGATATATTATTTGGAAATGAAACATACCTACCTTATTTGTATCTAACTGCATCAATACTCAATCAATCTCTTATAAACATTTCGATATTTGTTTTCCAAATAAATTTTCACTGTATTTTCTTTTACCATAGCTGATCTGAGTATTCACTTTTAATATGATAGTTTCCAATTGATATGGTAACTTGATCAACATGCTACATAAATCATTTTCAAGTTTTTTTTGGATAATTATTTTGTATTCAAATTACTTTGATTAGATGTTTTGGCTCAACATCATGCATACTTAAAAAATTAGAGATCTTTTGGGTAAATCTTATATAATAAGATATAGACTATTCATTAAGTTTTATTCTTTATTGTCCATGTTTGTATCTTTAGCCAACGTCATATAAATCATATTGTAACTATCCAAAAAAAAATTGAGTTAATATGATATCATCACAATGATGATAGTTGAACATTAGATAATTTTAGACGGTAAAGTTCAGTAATCACAACAAGATGAGTCACTTTGGATAGAGTGACTCATCTTGTAGTGAAGTTGATAAGAAGAATCTAAGATTGTGTGCCTTATGACAAATATAATGTAATCTAAAACTTATCGATGTGTCGTTGGGTTCAATGTACTAAGAAAATCGGTTTGGGAATTTGGTTCTGTGGCTGTATCTATCTAGTACTTCGCGCCACAATTCTGCTAATCACACTGAACATTATATATGTGTTTTCTCGTGGACGTATTCAGAAGAACTAATCATGTATCATGTGCATCTTTTCAGGTTTGAATTCTATTTCGCGTGAATTTTCACAACAATTGATACTAAAACGAATTTTTTTGATATCAGAGCTCTCGTGGGGTGGAGCGAAATCCATCCAGCGAATTCTTTGCCGATTGTGATCGTAAATTGGATTAATCTTGTCTCGTCTCGGTCACGTTGTGATACACACAGTTTACCTCTCACATGCGATGGCCACTGATTGTATCGTTAGAGTGAAATTTCGTTGGAAGATTCTACCACGCGGTTGGATGGCCGTATTCTCTTCCCGGACTTTCTAAGCTAATGCGCATGGCCATTAGCTTAGGCCATGCGCATTAGCTTAGACTCGCATCTCGCATACTAACTGGATGTTAGTTTTTTCTTAATTTCGAGGCACCAGGCAACATCATTGTTCGATCAGAGTGACCGTCTGAATACTGGGCTCAAAGCAGCAGTCACAACTCACGTCTCCTTATGGGCAGAATGTGTGGCCTTCATTCTTAAAGTCGTTGGAAGAGTGCAAGACGACGTCTGATGGACGTCTTGCTCCGTAGAATAGCTCTACAAGTTTGTACTGTACCAGTTTGATCCAAATAGCACTAAGGCCAACGCTCTGGAAGACAAGCTCTAGGTTATCCGCCACATATCGAAGAAATCTTCTGGTGATGCAGAAGTTCTGTGACAGATCATTTTGATTGTGATCCTTTTTTGTTGTTATGGTTGGAGATCGATATTTCACAGACATTGTGTATCGACGTAGTAAATGGCTGCTTACGATTTGATCTGCTTCGTTGACTTCAATCGAGAATTCATTTGTTGTCAGAAGAGTAAGAGCTCTAGAAGATACACTGGTTCACTAATGGCGCATCCAAGGTACACTGGCTACTAAACACATGCTCTTTGACCATCTGTGGACTTTATCGTACAAAACTGATGTGAATTTTTTTTCTTTCAAAGTTGTATATATGAACAAACAAAATAATCAACATGATGATTATGTTGTGAACAAGAATAACAACAAAAAATGAGAATAGTGAAGTATCAAAATGTGAAAGTTACAGAAAAAATAGAGTATAAAAGTTGCAGTGATAAAACAAACAAAGTGATAAAACACTATAACAAGAATAAGAGAAAACATTAGAATGTGAAAATTGTCAAAGTTTCAAACCAATCAAATGATTAAAATGCTAGAGATTTTTCATTTGAAGGGAAATGACAAAGAAAATGTTTTGATGTCAAAACATCAAATAAGAAGAAGTGGATAATCTTAATGTGATTACATGATATTGTTATTGCGTTAATGATACATTATTAATTCAAAAACTGTTGCAATACGTGAAAAAGTAAAATTTGAAATATAATTTTACACAACTATAAAAACATAGTGCAATTAAATGTGAAAGTCAGATTAAAATGGAGAATCACTAATCACTGATAATAAACACTGCAAGAAAAAAATGAAGTTACATGAAAGAATAGAAACATTGTGATGAAAACAAGAATATTTGAAATATGTGATTTATTAAATAATAAAAACTTTAAATCACATGCAATTAGAACAGAGTTATGTTCGTGTCACAACGATGTGGTCATATAATTTTATTTCAAAATAATATTTATATACGATGTAGAATTTATTAAAATACATCATTGAAGACTCTTCTTCCAATAAAATTTACTTGATTCTATATTTGTTTGATTGCTACAGCATTTGTATTCTATGGGTGAAAGTGTTACTTGTATCGAGGATTTTGTCGGGTCGAGGACCGGAGACCAATGAGGTGAAGCGGAGAACATTGATTGTTGGTATTCCGAGGCACTCGGTTTCGTACATCCGAGTCAAGTGCTCACGATTCCAAGAACCTGCAAGTCGATGGAAAAGTTTCTTTGAATATTCTGCCCTCGATCCGATTGATGACAATTGACCGGCATTCTGGTTGCCAGTGTCAACGATGGACTACAATCGCCGTATGCTGTGTGAATTGTGGAGTATTTTTGGGTAAGTAGATGACTGCGGTGCGGACATTTTGGGAAAGTGTCGCAAGGTGCTACCCGTAGTTGCTGTAGCTTTAGTGAATGGAGGGTTCGTCAATTACCGATCAGAGGTGTGTTGAGGTTTGGATGCTGAATCGTTTAACCGTGCTCTGCGGTCAGGAAACACGAGCGGCATCACAGCGCACTATATTCATGGAAAATGTTAATCTGCGGCGGCCCGGTCAACACGGTACCACCTTGCATGTAACATAAGTAAGAAAATGTTTAGTGTTGGACCTTCCGAGTGCCGTGGAGTTCCTGTTGCCTGTGTTGCAAATAAGCTATGGTATAGATCGCAATTTGTCAATGTTATTGGAGTTCGACTCTTGTCTGCACTCGGCTCGCTTCTGCTTTGGTGGTGCCCAATTTTGACTCGGCAGACGATTTGCCTTCAATGGATATTGTAAGCGTTCGACACCGATTCTTATGAAGAAATTGGTCTTAGCAGCAAGAGTCGATATGTTTGTCCTCTGTGTGCCTCTTAAGCGCCCCCTTCGTCGTTGTTAATATACTCATGCTACTGCCCATTCGCGGATCGTTGACAGTTGCGATCAAAACGAATTATTAGATGTTGGGGTTTGTGAAGGATTAACTCGTCAGAGGGTGGGGACAATTGGAGACTGTGTTATATTTCCGCGTGTACAACGAAATAAATTGGTTGCATGTAGTCAGAAATCCATGATGTGTAATGTTTCGACTCGAAGTACTACGCGAGCTCGATGTTTAGAAGGTAGGCATGTATGCAACTGTTTCTTCCCTCACAGAGAAACTTACCTTATGTAATCGCATGTTTGCCCAATCTGGAGGCGGGCATTGTGATATATGATTGAACTATTTGGAGAAAGGATTCTTTTGTACAGTTCTCGAGACCTTGTGTGGTCCAAGTTTGACTTCATAGATGGTTGGGCCAATTGGCATGATTTAAGTTTATGTAGAAATCTGGCTTGGCCCAGTCATAATTTGCGACTTCTCCGTCTGTTACAGTCAGACATTTGAGGATGCCTTCGACAAATAATATTCTTTGGCATGAGGTTTAGCTCCGAATGACAAACATGGCAAATGCAATCTTGAGCAAGAGGATGATGAGATTAATGAGGATGAGGATGAGAGTTGGGAATGAGATTGGCCGGAACTCTTTGCCAGCATACGTGAGTAGAGGATCTGCCCGTCAAATGCTTCCCAGTTTTGCCTGCTTGTCAGAGTTATCTTGTATCTACAGAATAAACTTGAGAAAAGTATTTGCCGGTGGTTTTACCTAGAACGGGCCGACCTATTCGTAAAGATATTTGTACCCACGATATACCACGATAGTCAATAGTTCCAAGGAAGATGCATTGAGAGTTGATGGTGTCTCGTCAGGTAAAAAATGTGGAAATGGGTGAATGATTTATCATCCTCAGTAAGGTTTTGATCGAGTGGGAAGCAGGGGAATTGAAATCTGAATGTTTGCTCGGAGTTTAATGATGAGTTCTAGATTTTTTGTTCAAATTTAATCGGTCATATATATATATGACCGCTTCGATATCATGATCGCTTATGCTTCAGTTTTGTGCATGGGTGAAATAAGAGACTAAGAGATTAATGAGAGATTAGTCAATTAGTTTTATCCTTACTACGTTGTTCTCGATTCTTCGTTTCTACGGACATGGCTTACCCTCCATCGAATATCAGATTTTATTGAACCTGTCTCATTACATGTTTTTTTTTACAAAATTTGAGCTGATATATGGTTTTCTCGCAGAACGGGAAACAAGTTGATCCTGAGGTCGACAAGCTGTTTACGCAGCAGATGCCACCTACACCTAAAGCATCGCAGAGTCTTCATGGGGGCTCCAAGTCTGAAGCATCTCTTTTTCTGTCAGACAACTCCAAAAGGTACATATGGTACACAGTTCACCTAGATATCAGTTTCATATCGTGCCACTGATCTACATATCTCTGAGTCGTTTGAGCGTATTGGCCGAGAATAAATATCGATGAACACGGCTTGAACGTGATCGAGATATTATACTTGAGCTTATTGAGGCTGAATGTTTTTGAAACTCCCTCATGCAGGGCCTTGGAGAAGATTCGAGATCTGATGCGTGACGCCATTCAAATGAAGAAAAATGAATTACCTGATTTGACTCTATCTAAACTTCGTGAGGTATCACAAATATAGCATTCTGTCAGATTCTGATATGACTATTGTCAGTCTCTAGAAATCTTTCCAATATTTTTTTTGGTGATCACGTTACCGTTTTGAATATCTTTCACCCTGTCTTCCTTGTGATGGCACTAAATAAGTCTCTACACTGGACAGGAGTATCTGAAACTGGATTGGGAAAGTCGTCAGAGAGCACTGCTGGTGCTCGCAACCCAGTTTGGGGTTGACAGGAAACGTGTACATGATCTTATAAGTCATTACGAAAGCTTGAGTACGGGTATGAGTTCAGACCAGGGAGGCCCTCTCTTTCGAATCGCATTATATGAAGTGTTACTTTTTTATGAGGAGTGATCCACGAGTCTGTGCAGATCGCAGGCAACTGCTATGTTACGAAGTATTGATCCTTATAATCTACTGCTAGCAGATGGTGGGGAAGAAAGTGACGCTGCTGAGGCTGCGCGCTATCGTACCGAGCATGATTTGCGCTCTGCACTCATGCCTCTTTCAGCACGATTGTTTGAGCAGATGAATGGGCAAGCTGGTGGTTTGAAGTTCTTAGTGGACCTCCGTGCAGACTTAATTGCCACTGTCAAGTAAGTGTCTGAAGACCTTTGGTGTTGGGCTCTAGGAGTGAGATCACAAGCTAGTATCAACATCTTGTCTTCTGGACAACATATAAGTACTAGCTTGTCTTGATATTCTTGGTAAATGTATAATTTTCCTTGAGGTACGTAATATATAAGAACAACATCCACGTGGATCCTTTTTCTCTGAGTTGAATCTCTCCATCTTCAAAGTGTACTGATCTCTTTTTGTTCAGAGTAGAAGCAGGATATAATTCCTCCCAAAAAACTCTATAATCCCTGAGATTCCTCTGTGAGCTTACTTAAATTATGAATGGGTGATGTCAGTCATGGTCAACGGTGCTGTTGAATCAGTTGTGACTAGGTTATTGTCGTGAAGCTGCCGAAGAATGTATCATCCATCCATAGTTGCTTCTTTACTCTTTGTAGACGCCACGCTTCCTTTTGTGTACTTAAGTCTGGAAGCATCGTAAGATAAGAAGCACTTGAAGCACTGTAAAACATCCAAATTGTATATTTCTGGTGCAGAGAAAAGAACCTCGCAGCGCTCCGTGCACTAGATTCAGAGCTTAAAGGGATGTTCGCAACATGGTTGGGACCTGCGTGCTTGGAATTGCAGCAGATTACCTGGGCTAATTCGGCAGCTTTATTGGAGAGGATTGTCGTTTACGAGGTAGATTTCTCTCCAGCGTATACCTGTTTTACTCGAAATTAGGGCTTCAAAAGACTTTTCTTCTGTTCCTGATGAGCTGTTATCCTGCTGCTTACAGGCCGTCCACCCAATCAGCAATCTTTATGACTTGAAACGAAGACTTGGTGTTGGTCGGCGCTGTTATGGATATTTTCACCCTGCTATCCCAGGTTTTGATCTGCTAGAATCGGATAATCGCTTTATGCATATGTCTCGTTGGTCCCCTTCTCTGTGATTTGTGAAGCCAGGGAGGATCACCTCTTTAGTTCCTACTCCTTCATGCAAGACGTGTATTTGTCTGAATGATTCTGGATTGAACCCTTGACTAGTGTGAAGAATTGAGTTGACGTTATGTAGATGAGGCATACTGTATAAGTGATGTATGCACTTTGTCAAGCATTATCTTAACTCGAAGAGGTCACCATATACTTCTTCTAGTCGAAGCTTTCTGGCCTAATCAGTCTACAGAGTAGGTAAATGAATCTCATCAAATTATTGTGTTTGAAATGTGAAGGTGAGCCTCTTGTGTTTATCGAGGTGGCACTTACGAATGAGATTGTTGGATCCATACAGGTCGGTGCCAGACCAAAAAACTACTCGGAAATTGATGTTACACATTTATCTTCTTCATCCTACTTGATTTTGTGGGCATGTGATGTTTGAAAATTGCCTCAAGCCTGACAACAAAATTTCAGAGGGTTTTGACTTCGAGTCTTTGAGAATATTGCTGATGGTTGGATAGAAGACAACTAACATGTGATCGATGTACCTCAGAATGTTCTATTTGAGGAGCCTCCCATAGCAGAAGAAGAGGCAACAACAGCCATTTTCTACTCGATATCATCTACACAGGTATAGTTTCACTATCTGTTTCGATATATCTGTTTGATCATGTACTGTCTTTTAACTCATTGATTCGTGGCCCAGTTCTCACGACAGCATGTGTGTCCGGTATGTGACCCAGGGCAGACAGGTCTTGCAGGTATAGATTTAGGCCATTTCCTTATCAAGCGCGTTGTGAGACTATTACGACAGGAGATTCCCAACATCCAGGTTGATTCATGAACTCACGGGATGTTTTGGTAGCTTTGTTTCTCTTTCTTTCTCTTCGGTATGTGCAGTCCTCTGTTTGTAATTATCGAACCGGATTCCAAGCTGGTCGCGGTATTTTTTTCAGCCGTGTTGTCTGCAGATCGTTTTAGCTTCTGATGACTTAAACAGCCCTATCCTCCAGGTGAGGTCTAACCTTAAACGCTTGTCTGGAGGTTGCAGACGTTTGTGACGTTAAGTCCAATTCCAGGATTTCTGAAATGGCTCTTACCGAAATTGAAGTTGCAAATAAGATACGCTCAAGTCGGAGCAGAAGATATTATAGAAATGAGTGACCCTCCATCAACTACCTTCAAAGAGAATTTGTTGTTGCCCGAGGAGGAGAGTAATCTAGTCGAGGCATGCGGGTATTGACTTTACTGTTTTCGTTATTTGCTTGTCTTTCGACTTGAAATAACCGCCAACTCCCTATTTTGTCAATCCGATCTTGAAACCGAATTAGTGAACCAGTCCCAGCGTTTAGGTGTGTCCTTTCACTTAATATGCTTCTCCAGCTGTTCTTACAACCCTGCACGGCTGATAGCCATGATGTCGGCCTCATGTCGTTTTTTGATCGATACAGGAAGGACAAGGAAAGTATTTCGGGGATGCAGATTTTGCACGATCTGCTAACTTCTTCAGATCACGAGTGGGCGAAGTCAGCCAAGTTGGTAGAGGTCTTACGGGCACCCCTTATGAGATTGTGTGCCAGGTCCGTATAAGTTTGACAGAGTTATATTTCTTCCCTCGCCTTTGATGTGGATGCGTTAGTGCTCTCTTATGAAGTCTTGAAGGTATTAAAAGACAGTTCTGGTTGTCTCTGCTTTGTAGGTATCTTATTGTTGAGAAGAAACGAGGTCGGGCCTTGGATCAAGTAACAAATTTTCATGTCCGCAACGGAGCTGTAAGTCTCATGTTCTTGCTATCTCAGAGTGGACTTCAGTGCAAAGGTGTATATGTTGATCATCACTCAATAGTGACTGATTGCAATGTTGTCTGTTCAAGCCTAACAGGAGATGACAGTTTTGCAGTTATTCAATCTTTATGCTATGACCCCTCAGGGACGTCCCTACTCAACTTTGCTCGATTGTTCTCAGAGCGTGGAGCGGTTGAACTGGATGGGTGATACGTCAATCAAGGGTTTAGAAACAAGTGCTGGCATTATGGTGAACTACATTTACAGGTATATATACTTAGACTTGTAACTTTTTGAGGTTCAGAATTTCTCACTATGTCATGGTTGAGGACCAACTTTGCTCTTTTACTCTTCGGTTGCAGGTTGGAGAATATAGATACGAATAATCAGGCTTATTTGAACAAAGGCATCATTGCTGCATCGCCTGCCATAGAGCAATATCTGCAGTCTCGCCTGTAAGGGGCAATATATAGAGTAAGCTTGAGTGTGGGGCAGTTGTTTCTCATCTCCGATAGTAATTTTACCGAGTACGAGCACCCTGCGCACATTGTACATTGGACATTTCTTGCAAGTTGTTTTATAAATTTGTCATTTTCGATGAAAATTCTTATAAATGAAGAAAGAACGGCTTGCAAATGGATCACAAGGCTTCTCTCAGCTATTCTACCTTGAATGGTGATTTGTTACCCGAACATGAAGCAGCAAGTGTAAGGCAAAGGTAACTTGCTTATCACATTTGATAGGGACATTTGGGCCAAGCTGAATGTCGTGAGGAAGATTGGTATCTTCCCTGATGCTAGATTGAATTGGCCAGAGATGATAATTTTGGAACTTGAAGATGTTGGAAATCTGATTGCACGTATTGCAAATTTTATTTTTTTGGCTTGTCTGTGATTGGTAAGTTATGCAAATCATGCACACCCTCCTTTGATGCTACACATATGTTGCGTAGTCTACCTAAGAAATTTCGTCCTAATTGTGCTCATAAGTATGAGCACAATTAGGACGAAATAGTATGATTCCTCTTTTATTAAGCAAGTGATTTAGAATTAGAGCATAAGAATATCTGGTCACCTTTGCAACAGGGTTACAGAGGAAAGGCAAGGAAGCAGCTAGAGGTGTTGCCACAAGAGGAAGATATGTAGAGGAACTGGAAGAGGGAAAAAGCTTGATACACATTTGGTGGTAGAGGTTATTTAAGCCTTCAGAGCCCAAAGTGGAAAATCAAGAAGAAAACTCAGGCTACGATTTCTCCAACTTTCATGAGGACAGAAATTAAGGTTTATGAGGACTTAAAAGATCGAAGTAAAGATGCGATGGAGAAAGAAGGTAGAAAATGACATACTAACTTTAAATATAATTGCTCAATAGTTGGAGATATTATCAAGAACAGCGTGTAGATTCGTCTTGCATCTCTCACTTCAGCCATGAAAGCAAGCGATGTTGATGTTAAAAAGGATGATTCAGCACGGGTAATGGATCTGATTTGAGATACATTCTCATACCAACCCATAAACATCGAATCTCAACTTCTTAAAGCAGAGCAATTTTGTGTCTTATGTTGAAGTCAACGGAACAATCACCATATGGTGCGAAAGAATATAAAGTAAGTATATATATATATATATATATATATATATATATAGATTTGTTTAAGTAGATTGGTCTACTAAAGAGAAGCATTGACATGTGGTAAAACACTTGAAGTACATCATGATAGCTCATTAAATTGTTGGATTTGAACAAGAAGTTGAAACATCTTACACGAGCATTTTTTACGAGAATATGGTTTGAGAGATTTAAACATTTAAGTCTAATTTAAGATTCTTGCAGAAAATTTACATGTGGTTGATAAAAAAATTGTTACAGTTATGTGATTATTGTGTTGGGAAAACTGAGACAAATAATTAGCTTTCAAATTTTCATGACATAAATTTTCAATCATCAACTGAACTTGGTAGATAGAATGCACAATGATACCTATTTTGAAACATGGTAGAATTCAGGAATAAGATAATGAAACTTAGATGAGATGGAAGCTTTAAGAATGGATGAATCACACAAGTAAACTTTTTAGATCAATGTGCCAATCAGACTTTGCAACTGGAACGTAGAGAAGGTAAGGATGTGTTGTTAACGAAAATATTACTTAGAAATTATAACTGGAAGAATCAGCATTGCAAGGCGGTTATGATGGAAGAAGATTACGATCTTTACATCTAGAAAACTAACATCTTCAAAAGAACCACAAGTGGTAGATCAATTGTAAATCTTCAAAGTGGGAGATCCATCACTCTAAGTTGGCTATACCACTTGAAATAATTACTCTACTGATGGATATGGGTACTCAAGATGAAGAAAACAGGCATCAGATATCTATTGAACTACAAAGCTAGGTTGGTGGCCAAACTATACAATCAAAAACTAGAAGTCCAAGATCATGCAACCTTCGATCTTGTAGAAAGGTATGTCATTCACTATTGGATGTCAAAATACAAAATTTATGATTGGAGTTGTAAATTTTGTTCATGATAGTATTATATCCTGGTAAGTTCTTATTAAGAACCAACATTTGCGTTTATTAAAAACGCATTTTATTAACAACATTTATTAATAATTTATGGAAGAAATTAATGCGTAGACAATTGAGTCTATGCAGTTTTTCAATGTTTGCTATGGTTTATGCCATTCTAGCCGCATGTCACTCTATGAAAACATTGGTCTGATACACAAACCATCCAACTCCAGCTTATTAAGGATGTGTCAAAATGTGCTCACATAATTTGAAGGCACTACAGTTGTTTGCATGAAGTACATTTAGTTAGCATTCAAGCCTTCTTTAAAGTATTATCTAACATTAATTGTTAAGATGATTGTGACCACAATAGACTACATAAGTGAAGTTACTATTTAGTGGTGGAGCTATGAGTTCGGAAAGCAAACATCAAAAGTAAAACGCTTTATCTCCAACAAAAGCTGTGATTATGGATTTGCATTGGCTACTCATGAACTGAAATGTTCCATGGGAATAGTGAACTAGCTTGGATTATTGAACAAGCTCTGACAAGTCCAAGTGTAGGGAGGTGAGTTCTAGATTTGTTTCTCAATGTTGCTACTATTAGCACACTCAAGTTAAAGTGAACCGGTAGCAAACCACGGGTAATCTACTAGACAATAGGCAAAGAACGACATCCTAATGAACTGCAGGGTTCAAATAACCAAAATCCTTGATAACTCCTAATTGGTTTCTGTTTACTTCCTCAATGCATTTCTTCACCTCAGAAAGATGTCATATTTGAAAATTGTCTTCATATCACGTATAAGCGTTGAAAAGTCAATATGACAGCTATAGGAATGTTCATCAACGTGAACAAATAAAGCTATATAAAGGCCTCAAATCTTGAGCAAAAATGCTACAGTCATGCGTGACAGAAGTCGTTTTGATGATGAAAGTAAATCATGGTAAAAGCTTTTATGTGGTAGTCAAAGGTAGATCTCTCATTGAATTCACTAGAGATTGAACAATGCTTAGTCTGAGCTTCTTCTCAAGAACTTTTTTATGTCAAAGAAATCAAACCGAATGCACAAAAGAGTCATCAATATTCCATTCTATAAGTGGAACGCTTAAAAGATGTGTTACGTGTTGTGATTCAGTAGATTTTTAACGTGGAGAACAATTCATTTTTGTCGGTGGATTCTATATTTAGGTCAAATGTGGTGTCAAAATGAGCAACTACTTAAGTGTTGCGTTGTATCTTTCATATCAACTTTTTCTTGTCTCACAACATGGTATCACAATGAATGCTCCAATCTTGTGCGGATGAAGAATTTTAACTAGTTGTCTCAATTTTTTACACCGAGAGCAATGTTTTCTCTCACGCTAACGTAGTATTTCCCAGCCATTATGTACAAAGATCACTACAATTCTAGCTTTCAGTTATGTTTCAAAGAAAAGCTCATGAATTGCACCAATGTAACCATCTTTAGATAGTTAGAAGTAGAGGTTACTCAAGATGAAGTTATAGTTACTTCAGCGTGCACTAGTCATAGCTGTCACATCAGCGATTCGCGCGCTTGGTAGTTAGAGAGTAAGTGTGTTAGTTCAAAGCGCCACATCAAAGATCTGTGTGCTTGTTAGGTAAAGATTAAGTGTGTTACTTAAGAGCGCCACATCAGCAAACCGTGTGTTTGTTTAGGTTATCTGCCACGTCATACATCCATTAGGAGTAGAATGAACGGTGGGGATGAGATTTTATCTCCTTGTACTTGTTGGTAAGAGCTATATAAAGGAGAGTAGAACCATTGACGGTATCTCTCATTTTCAAAGTTTATATTTTTGATCTTCGAATAAGCTTTTTATTCAACCCTAGTGTTACAACCAAGTACATGGATTGGTTTATTTGATTTAATACCATGCTTCGTGACAAAAAGATCTACAAGGGAACCGTCTTTAACCCAGTTACTCTTGGTGCTAGCCATGATATAACTATTGGCCGCCGTCGCATCAAAGCAACTGCCATGATTCATGCTAGTGTTGTTCTTGACATTCTTTCTTCCATCGTCGGATTTAAAAATAATCTTTCTGAATTTTGGATGTATTTGCGCACTCTATATGAATCTAACAATGCTCACCGTCGGTTGATGCTAATTGAGAAGCTTGCTATTTTTAAACTGCGTGCTCCTACTCTTAAGATCCAACTTGCTACTATGAGCATTGATCTTCGAATAGTGATTTGATCCATTACACTCTCAAGAGTCTTCCACTCTCGTGTTTACCGTTTGTTTTCAACTTAACCAGCGACTTGTATCAAGATACTCCACCTGACTTTACAAACCTGGTACATCCTCTTCAAAAAAACACTACTCGGTTTGATAGTCATCAACAGGATGACACTGCCGATGCTATCATATGGTTCCACTTTTGCAAACAACGCTTTCAGCATCCCTCTTTCCAATATTCTTATTTGAACTTCTCACAGTCTTCTGCTTACCGAGCTAGAGGAAAAAATGACACCAGATCAACTTGACAAAATACATGTTGTACTTATTATGGTCGTTCAAATCACTGAGAATCTAATTGTGACTTGAAGAAACTCAATAAGCAAATATCTCATCTACAACTCCTTGACTCTAATATGCATCGAGTTAAGATGCAAGCAAACTTAGTAGACAAATGCGACGATGGTCTAGAAGAAAATTTAGATAATGAATCAATAGAGTTAGAAGACTTGGCTTTACAAAAATCCAAAAAATACGTGTTAGACTCGGGAGCTAGTAGCCATGTGATAAGTAATAGATCAACGCTTATTTCATACCAACTAGACTCTTTTCACTCTAGTGTTTCAATTGCTAGTGAAACTCGTTTACATTTTATTGGCAAAGTAAGTTTGCGAGTTGATTCAAGTTCATGTAAGGAGATCAAACCAATTCTTTACGTGTCAGATGTTACCAAGAATCTATTGTAAGTAGACAAACTATCAGATTCATGTTTACTTGTGATGTTTAATTCTGAATACTATTTTTTGCTCAACAAGGTCAATCTTCATAGTATGTTTCTCTTTAGACAACGTGATTCTTGCAGTCCATTATATCAACTTCTTCCTAAGGTGCAACAAGTCAATGCTCACTTCCTTTGTCACATGCTTAAACAATTTGATCGCGCACATAAGCCTCTTGACTCTATCAGATCATCTATCTTTATTAGGATCAGTAA